TTTTCCTGCAGAAATGCCGATGTAAATATTATGGTTTGTCGTATTTTCTTTAGACTTAATGGTTGGCTGGTATACTATCCTAGTGGATCTGCACTTGCCCTCTACTGGGCAGTTTTCCTCAATTCCTTATATATATAAATTATATCCTTGCAAAGAACTATATAGAAATAACGGATGATGAATCTAATATTATCTTAACGGCGAGAAAGTCACTATTAACACTAAATAATTCCACCTGGACTAAGCACCACAGTGACGAGGTCGATGTCCCCATGGGATCATATGACACTGCCCAAGTTGCAAACAGAGTATGTTTTAATTCGATGTCCCGCATATCTTTCTTCAATAATATTTCTCGAATATTCAGACGGGTAGATGAAAATATTAAATATACTGTTTAATAAATAAAGGGAACGTCTACTCAGATACAAGAATCCACTAAAAATAGCATTTGAAGTGATGAAATCTGTCAGATTATTAAATAAAAATCCTCTTCTGTAGAAAATTGCTTTGTTGACATTTTGATACAAAACTGAACAGATATGAAAATTTCGAGGAGTCTACGATGAGGGGAATTTCGCTTAAAGGCACTATTCAACGTTGTCATGTCATTTAAGTTTTCTTTAGCTCAGTCTCTCTAGAGCACGTCGGATCTATTTACAATAGTTACTTTTTGAGTATTGTCCTCATCTTTCATTATGTTGATCCTGGTAACCAACAGGATATACTGAACAGATCCATTTACTTCACCAAATAAAAGGTTAGACGAGACATACTTAGAGGTGTGCAATAGAACGTGAACTGTTTGTCCCCGTAGATTAAAAGGGTTCAATACAGAATTTCTGGTAGGTTAGAATAGATCGATAGACACGTGATGAAGTCCATAGGGTACAATGGCCGAAATGTTTTGATAACAGCAACAATGATCAGGACAGTAGTACGAATGTAAATACTCTAAATAACAATAACTCTTCATCCGAGAAATTCAAAGAATAGTTGTCGATTTTTGTTTTGTATAGAAATAATAGGGACATAAAAATCACTTTTAATAACTAACTTATTCACGCATTATAAATTTCTATATCGAAACTCTTTATATATCTATCTTGAGATAGATAGATAGATAGATAGATAGAAAGAGAGAGAGAGAGTGAAAAAATAGTGTGACACGCTGTCGTTCGTCTAGATAGATAGATGGAGAGATAGATATAGCGGGAGAAAGAGAGAGAGAGAGAGAGAGAGAGTGGGCTACGCAGTGTCGCGCAGATGGATAGATATATATATAGAGAGAGAGCGCTATACATCGACGCCCAGATAGATAGATAGAAAGCGACCAGAAATATCGATAAACAAACATATAGGTACCCAGGTAGATAGAAAGAGAAAGAGTGAGTGACACAATGTCGTCCAGAGAGTTAGATAAAAAGATAGATTGATAGCGCGAAAGAGAGAAAGAGAGAGGGAAAGAGAGAGAAAAGAAAGGAAGAAAGAAAGAAAGAAAGATCCATGTACGATCACGATTCAATATTCAACAGACTCGTCTCCACATGTGAGGTCTGATCTAAAAGTATCGGGACTGTTGCTATGGTCACGGGGCTAAATTATGCAGAGTAAAAGCCGCTCGGTACAAACTTACCCAGAACTAAATTGCGCAAACAATCTAAGTTATAACGTGCCCGGTCGCTTCCGTTGTTTTTAGCAGTGCTTGGAAGGAAAGTGTGTAGAGTGCGGTCGTCTCACCACACCACAGAAGTTCCATCAGTATCCACGGCTTGTACAGCAGTTTTGGCTATGCACGGCATTCCCCAGGTTCTACCATATTCCCTAGATCTCGCACCTTGCTTCTTTTACCTCTTCATAAACCAAATTCAACTTGAAAGGAACAAGATTTCAAGATTTATATCAAGAATGGGACAAGGCAGTTGTTCGCCATTCCCCTTCCCCTAATAATCTTTCCCTGAATGAATCTGTCAATAGAAATAACGCTGGATAAAGCGTGTTGTTTCAGAAGAGGACTACTTAGAAGGAGACTAAATGCTGAATTATTCGGTTTTGTAGTTATATTTTTATACTTTTTCATCGGACCTCATATACGAGCACACACACACACACACACACACACACATATATATATATATGAGTAAATTCTCTGTTTATAATAAACAGTATTAACAATATTTACAGGCCTGAATGTCCGAGAAATTTTCATAGAAAATATGCGTCCTCCAACAGAAATCGAACCTGTATCCTATACGGAACCGTCATATAGCCTGACGTGCTTTTACCGATTGGGCCACAGAGGAGATCGGTTAGCCATGATTTTCTCTCATACATTCATATCTGCTCAATGCGTATCGAAATGTAAATAAATGACATCACACATTATGAAATGGACCAAGTCCGACAATTATTTTTAAGACATTTTTATGTTTATACGTCCTTTTTGTTTAAACAGATATATATATATATATATATATATATATATATATATATATATATA